CCACCCTGCAGTGCCTCAATATGATCCAAATACACATGTCGCGTCGCCCATGGTATGTATCAATGTGCCGGGATGCAAATCCGCCGCATGCGCCAACATATGCGTCAGCAGTGCATATGAGGCGATATTAAACGGCACCCCAAGCCCCATGTCGCATGAACGTTGGTAAAGTTGACAAGATAGTGTTCCTTTCCTCTTCTCCTTCTCGTTTTGATCCTCGTTTTCCTCCCCGCCATCATCGCGATCCCCAGCAGGGAAGGAGACATAAAACTGCGCAAACATGTGACACGGCGGCAACGCCATCTTCTTCAAATCCGCTGGATTCCATGCGCTCAGGATAATGCGCCTGTCATATGGGTTTTCCTTCAGTTTCCGTACCACCTCTGCAATTTGATCCACGCCCTGGCCTGTATAGTCTGTCTGGGCATCGATGTATTCCGCGCCAAAATGCCGCCATTGAAATCCGTACACGGGGCCTAGGTCACCAACAGCACGGTGGGAGAGGCCGACTGAGTCGAGATATTCGCGGCTCCCATTGCCATCCCAAATCTTGACGCCGGCTTCGCTGAGAGGGAGGGAGGATGTGCTTCCTGATATAAACCAGAGGAGTTCGGCGATGACGGCGCGAAGGAAGACGCGTTTAGTAGTTAGGAGAGGGAGAACGGGGGTGCGAGAAGAGGTGGAAGTGGGGTTGGAGGTGGTACGTTTTGAGAGGGAGAAGCGGAGTTGCGGCGGCGCGAAGAGAGAGCAAGTGCCTGTACCGGTGCGGTCAGGGCGGTGTTCGCCCGTTTCGAGGATTGAACGGATTAGGCGAAGATACTGATGTTCCTCGTGGGAAGGGTTGTGGTTGGGGGAGGGGCTGAGAGAGGCCGACTGCGCTGGTGTTGGCGGGGTTAAGCTGTCATTTGGCTTTGGTGTTTCTGAAGGGGTGATAGGAACGGTTTGCATGTCGGACTGAGGCATTATTGATTATGGTTTTCGCCGTAGTTTGTTCATCAACGGAGATTGAAATGATGTACTTGTGGGATGATTGCTGGCATCCCGTTGGGTTCGAGTTCTCTTGCTTAATTGACTTCCAACATCGACGCGACGCGAAGAACACGTGATGGGTCAGTCGGTTAGGGCAGAACTCACTTGCTTACGGGGGTTGACATTCATAACTTCTACCATGAGAATTGGAATTATCCGCCGTCCGGTATTAAGATTTCCACTTACATTTCTAGTTTTTGCGAGGCCTCCATAACTCATAGCTGTGGATCAAATCTCCGGTCTATATACTAGCTAAGAAGTCTTTCAAAGCGCCATCTCAAATGAGCCCATCATGATGTTGCAGTTAACTCCCGAATCCAGATGAAACCAAGATCAACCAGCTAGCAAATCAACTCCAACTCCACGTAGAGCTGTGACTGCCCATTGGGGTATACTCGTGTAGTCACCGTACCTTGTCTTGAAGAATTTGCGGAGAAAATCAGGAAATCTATCTTGCAGAATCGCCGCTCTGAGGGAACCCATCATTGCCAGCATATGGTGGACATTGTGCATTGTAAGTCTGGGACATTAGGGTTAGTGCGCGTGGCTCCACGATTTCTGTTCCAGCAGCTACAGAGCACTTACAAATGAGCTCCTGCCGTTTCTTTGGCGGCAAGATGGTGGATGTAAGCTCTTGTGATCTCAAGACCCCCCTTTTCTTTGGGTCGGCAACACATGCATTGACAGCCCTCTTCGATCGGCCGAAAGTCGTTCGCAAATGACGCATTGCGAAGGTTCAAGGTGCCAAACGAAGTAATTGCATTTCCGAAGCGCTGTTTCCGGGGTCAGCATTTTTTTTTTTTTTTGCTAGAAACTCGTTTAGGTGATGTCGAGCAGAAAATCAAAACTAACAGCTGTTCTTGTGGGCCACACGCAATCAAACATGTCTGCTCCGAGGGCGACAGCCACAACGATATCTTCTGGATATCCCTGCAAACTGTCAGTGTTCATTCCACTCATTCATCAGACCGAAAGCCACGTACCACACCCATCACATATCGCGGCTTTTTCTCTGGGAGTAGCGCAGTACAAGCATTTACCCTAGCGAGTGTAAAATTATTAGCCATTCCAATATCCTAAATTTTTTGACAACTTCCCTGGGCGCAAAACTCACACTTTGCAAAATTCTTCCTTCGCCTCACCACCAGAAAGTCCACCAATAGCAATCCCAGGGGTATCTCTCTCAACCATCTGCTTGCAACATTCCTTCCGAAGCTCCAGATCCAGCCCACCCTGGATAATGCAGAATAGATTTTGTCTCTCGGGATACTTATGCGCATCAATGCATCGATCGAGCCATCGCACGGATCGCTCCATTGCCTCTTTTATTCTTGCGTGGTCGGGGGAGGTGGTTGCTATCACATCGTCGAGCTGCATAATGATGTCAGAACCGATAGAATTTTGTAACGAAATCGAGTGTTCCGGCGTAAGAAGCCTATCCGTTTTCATTTAGCCCAACGAGTTAAATAACGAATAATTCTGGCGCCAAATAAAAGTAACGGGAAGATTTCGGTGGTGGAAACTCACATGGGGGTGCCATCGTGCGGACTCAAAAACCGTACCCCTTCCTCTGTAACCTGCGCAAGTTTCAAGAGGGAAACCATCTGGAACCTACCAGTTGCCAACGCACATAATATTAGCTACGATACCCCCGCATGGAATGACCCTCTTTTTGTTAACTCATCCATCATCCGCCTTCGGCGCCTTTTCCTCCCTCGCCTCTACTTGCTTCCCCGTTTCTTCATGCCAGGCTCCTCAAACGCAAATACCATTTTCAACTACTCCAACACCACCCATCACCACCGACCAACTGAAAAAGAAATATATGTAAACTCACCCACCACTATCCGTTAAGATATTCCCATTCCACCCTTGGAACGCATGGGCTCCCCCAACCTCATCTAACACTGCCTGCCCAGGTTTCAAACCCAAATGGTACGTATTATTCAGACACAGCTTACATCCGGTCTGGGAGAGTTGCTCCGGCGTCAACCCCTTAAGCGAAGCTTGCGTGGCCACGGGCATAAATATCGGGAGCTGAACGGGACCGTGTGGGAGGTAGAGGGTGCTGGCACGGGCTTTTGTAGTCTAACATAGATGGACAAAAAAACCGAAAGCGTTAGATACGTCCGCAGCTCTTGGGCTTTTGAAGTGGAATGAGACATACAGAGCATTTCGCTTCGAGGTTAAGCGTTAGAGGTGAGGGCATTGGATTGCTTGTTTTTGGTATGGTTGCGGCTGCTGGTATCGCGGCAGCACTACGTATAGATGCTGCGATGCGGGGAGTTGAGCGAGTTGCTCCAAGAGATTGAATGCGTAAGAAAAGAGCTGGTTGCAAAAGTCGTGTAAAAGAATGTAAATGGCTCCCAGGGCCATTTACTAGGAGCATGGGATATTGTGGAAGACAAGACAGGCGGCGTGGAAGGTTGCAAGAAGCTGTTATCAACTTGAACTTTTGTTGCATTTTCAAACTCTCGGTGATGTCAAAGAGCAATGACTAACTAAGCAAATCATGGTTTGGTGTAGGGTTAGGGTTAAGGTTAGGGTAAAGGGGTAAGGCGTATCATCATCAACGTTTCAATATATACCTATGCACTGCTTGCACAGTTCCACCCAGAAGGTGAGGAAAGTGGCTACATAGCCCTGATATTAGAGCCACTACTAGGCCGGCAGCAGAAGTAGGTCAAAGAGATAGGATAGTAAGGTGTCGCAATGCGGTAACTATGCTCACATCTCCCATAATCAGGCGCAGACCATAATGAAACCTTCTTCCCTTCACCTCAAGGGAAAGGGCAGCATGATGCCGCACTAGAGTGACAAGAATAGTTCAAATGCTAACCGCAAAGTTGACAGATTTAGCCATCCTGTTGAGAAAGTGAAGAAGCTCTCACACGAAGCCTGGAAGCACACAGGCAAATCATCTACTTGGAGTCAACTACATGAAACACCTGGCCATTGTGTGAAATACAGGTGGTATGGAGAGCTAAACGGGTCGATAGATATCAAGGGAATGTTACACTGAAGTGTTAACAATTTTTATATTATTGAGCAGTCTACGATGCAATTCCTTATTTATGTGACTGTACCTCTGGTTCTAATAGAAATTAATTTCATGAGTTTATTCAACAAAATATCCTCAAGAGAGGAATTTGGAAAGAAGAAAGCCCAAACCGAAAATTCAAATTCACAGTTTTGAAATCCTTTGAACCCACTCATGGGGTACGGTGATAGGATCAATACCTGGCTCCTTTCTCTGCCGCGCTTCCTCTATCTCCCACTGTGGTTTGAGTTCCTCGGCCAGCCACTTCGCAACAGCCCTGGCCGTTCCTCTGGGTTCAAGAAACGGCAGGGCATGACCCTCCGCTGCCACAAACACCTCTTTCACCTGCCCCGTCGCTTCCCCTCCGCCTCCACCGAGGCCTATTCCCGTCTTCCCAACAATCCGGTTCCGGTACGAATCCGTACTAAGCGGACTGTTATCCGCAGTCCACACATATAACGCCTTGCAATGCACACCTGGTAGATACTCTTTTATCTTCGCCGGCTCACCCCGATAAAAACCCCGTGCGACAAAACTCTCTTCAGCCCTCGTTGCATAGTCTTCCCCAGCGGGATAGCCTTTCATTGGCGGGTCGGCGCGCATAAACAGTTGTGCTTGTTGATATCTAGGTGTTGCAAGCGTAACACTTCCATCGGGCATACTGCGCAATTCATACCGTAGAGACTGAGATAGCACACGCGGGTCAAGCTGTGAGTAGTATTTCGACTTGCGCATGTGTCTCTCTGCTGCCTCGCGGCTCTCCCATTGATCTCGCATCAGCGCGACAGAGAAACCCATGTTCATGTTCCGCGCTAGCCCCTGCTCGGGGACACCATGCGCTTTCAGCTCTTCAATGTGGTGATATCCCACCTCCAGCACGGGTTCCATGAGCACGATCCCCTGAAAGATGCGCGGGTGCCATGCCGCGGGAAGCAGGAGGTGAACACAGCCCCAGCTCTGCCCGATGCCAATCAAGGGGAGCGTCAATGAGGACTGGAAGTGGTTGATGAGCTGCATGATATCGTGCGCCCCGTCGAACCAGTGATGCTCGTCGCCTATCTCGCGCTCATTCAGGTGATAGGATTGGCCATGGTTGACGACGTCGGCGGCCCAGATCGCATGGATCGCGGGTGTAAGCGGGTTTGTGAGGAGGTCGGCGAAGAAGGGCTCATAGCATTCTTTGACTGAGCCGACGCCATGGGCGAAGATTACTGTTGCGCCGGGGTTATCTGCGTTTCCTCCATCTTTGTGCGCGCGCCCGTGCGGGCGATACTCATTGACGTGAAGCTTCAGCCGGGAGTTATGCGGGTTGCGGGTACCCCGGCGGAACGAGCGAGGGTATGCCGCCGGGATTATATGAGTTCTCACGGTCCAAGGTGAGGACATTTTCTGTTCTGCTGGCAGTTTGCTGGGCTATCTTTGTAGGCTCACTGAGAATATGCGCCTTCATCCTGAGCTGTTTCTCAAACAGACATAAACTTGAAGACCGTGCGGCCAGATAGAGTACAGGGTATTTTGTCGGTTCTCAGCTGATAACGAGATCAGTACTCCAAAGGGGCCATGTGGGGCCAATGCCACTCCGTTAAAGTAGGGCTTCTTTGTAATTGGATTAGTTATGAAAATACATAGTTAAAGCCGGCCCACAAGGCAACGATCCGAAGCAATCGTACCCTGTAGATCCACAAACAGGCATTACAGTCTAGAACCGCTTGAAATTTGTACCAGTTCATTCTCTCGATCTCACCATCTTATCGGAAGGGATGCAACGTCTTGGGGGCTGAAAGGAACATCTCAGCTGAAAATTTATTTATCGAAGCTTCGGCATGGTGGCCGTCACCCCCACAAAAAGAAACTGGCTACTCATGCTATTGAGCGAATGATCTTGCTATACCAAAGAAGTTGACCTCATGTCCTTCGAGCATCCCTTGAGGACACCCACCAGAGCTTCCGATCAAGCCGTGATCATACCTGCTTACACTCTGGGAGCATCCGCGCTTCGATTCTGCTCACATTTTCACAGCACAGGATTAGACATGGCGACATTCGACGTTCCTGTGGGAACCGATCACAGGCCACTATTTCTGCTGGTGCAAGCGTAAATCAACTAGACATCAATGAACCACACAGGACAGGCCACAAACCGGTGGCATGAGTGGCATCGAAAAGGAGCTGAGGCTTTCAGAACAGCCATTGCGCAGACTGCCTCCAGTCAGGTATCTAATATATAAGCAACTTCGCAGCAAACCAACTGGTTAACTAAAGAATACCAAGAAGCCAGAAGCTTGATTGAAATGAAACGTGGAGAAATTGCTTTTTGAGCGGTGTGCTCACGGGTCCAGAGCTAATTAACATGGTTTCCCTTGGCTATCTACGGAGTACTCCGTAGGCGTAGTCAATTTATTCATTGAGAAGAGAGTGAATCTCAATCCTGCCATCGACTTGTCGTCGCCCCGTCGCTGCTCCTTGGGGGGCGAAGTTTTTAACAGACCACCCAACTTGTGATCAACGATGACACCGATGCCAATTTGTGTAATTGGCGATAAAACACGGCGCTATCAACGGCAGTTGCTCAGAGCCACACTGAGATAGCCCGGTTGCTCATTGGCAAAAAGAGCCAAAGCGAACGCCATGGGTTTAGAGCGTATTGAATCTGGCACAGCACTTCTCAGGGCTGCATTCTTTGAGCGCGAGAACGGTGTTCCCATTGTGATCCACGCGGGCCCAGATGTGGGCAAGATCGGGGATGAGGGGTTCTTCTATCTCCACACTGCGTCCCTAGTGTCCCTGACTGTTTTCTCTACCAACGCTTCATCCAAAAGGGAGTGCAAATGGTTCCAATTCTCAGGAAGCTCAGTGCAACCAACCGGTGCTGATATATATGTTCTATATCCAACCGTCTCAGCTCGTGCTGACGCCTAACTGCAAAAGTAGCCTACGTGGGCATTTATGTTGGATGTATATCCAGTACATACAAGGGATGGCATGAGGAGAATACTGGAAGGCTTGATGATGCCTCTTTATGTTAACAATTTCATTGTTTTTTGCTGGACTGTCTGCCTTCCCCCATTATTTTCTTGCTATGAAATCAAGATACCATCCATCAGAGTTAATAGTTGCAATCAACTGTTTGCTGTATCATTGTTCTATAATCTAACAAATCGGAGTCACCAGTGAGTTCCAACCACGAAACTATCTACGATTTAGGGCATCCCGGCTATACATCGTAGAGGGCAGGAGATTTCCTCGTCAGATAACGATTAGATAGCGTATGTTACGTTTTGAGGTCAGGTTCAAGTACGTCCTGGGGGAGAGAGCCCCCCGGTACTATCCCTGCATATGCATATGAGCGGGATTCTGAACCCTAAAGTAAATAGTAAATGGCGCTGGCGCAGGAATTCACCGTTATTCTCTGTTTTTAGCTCACTGGAAGATTCTAGGCCGAAATTCGGCAATTGATCCGCTAAAATCGGGTATAATTTTAATTCACTGGTGTCGTGGATCATTCCCTTTAGATAAGTAAAGAAAAGAAAAGAAAGTAAAAAAAAAAAGAAAAGGAACAAGGACATCATACTATTGGTTAGTAGTTATGCCACAAGCCTCCTGAAGCTCAATTACATGTCATATGACATGTCCCAATGGAGGCTTTTTGAGGTTGCCTTTTCCTATCTCAACTTTCAGCCAAACTTGTCCAGTTGTAACGCGTGGTTATGCATGATTGCCGTTGATTCATTCAGGACAAGCAACAGCCAACTCCGCGTGAATTCGAGACAGACCGCCACCAACGGGAGAAACCGGTCGAAAGGTGTGAATTTCTCCGGATCGGAATCCCAACCGCAACCCTGTGAATTGAGGACGAGAGGGTATGCCTGTTTATGTCCGCCCGCATACACGATATTGGTTATTGGTCATCAAAAGTCAACAATACTGATGCTTTCCCCAGGGAAGATGCTCCAGCATTCAGCCACTGCATTTGCATTCTATTGATGGGTTGATGGCGAAGCCGTAACAATCTACTCCGTACTCCTGCCAGCTCCATTCACATCATTCGATTGTGGCGTTATTGAAACTGGCGGGACTGACATGCCAAGCAAAGGGACGTTCAAGACAAGACCCGATTGGCATGCTTGGCGGAGGTTGATGTGGCTAATCTCCGCCTCAAGCCAGTCATGAAGCTTACCTGAACTATCCCCCCATCGTCTGAGATTCAGTCATGTAGGGGCGATGTCAGATGGGAGCCTTAGGGTGCGGCTTGTGGGAGGGTACCTACAATGCCACAGACCTAATAAGCTTCTATATCTAGAAAGATTAGGGGTAGATATATGGTCCTGAAACACATTATCTGCTTTGGCTTCGATGCCAAGGTTCTAGGAGACTGGTCATATTCCACGGGCCTGGGCATCGCATGCTGTGCAAGTCTCGCAAACGAGCTGGTGGGTTTCGAATGCCACGGGTTGTCATCCTTTCCCTCGTTGTAAGCGATCGGGGCCTGAGCGTGGTTCGGGCACATACTCTGCGCCAAGCGGAGCGGTGATACCCGGAGCGGAATCTTGCAATAGCCCACGTGCACTGGCGTTTCTATGTCCTCTTTCAAAGACTTGCACACTGAGACAGCTGTTTGTGGGAATCGCCTTTCCATATGTCGGATAGCGGGAGGCCTGGAATGGCATCAGATTTCGTCCGACCTTTTCGTCAGATGGATAAACTGGAGCGACCAAAGTAAAAACCGATTCCATGACTAGCGCATCAGCTAACCCTCTGGGAAGGGCGTTCTGAGGGATGAGTGGATTGGTGGCAGATATGCTGTCACACTTCGATGTCTGGGCATGTAGTATCTTACCGCTGCCCGTCCTTCAGTGGGCCTCCCAATGGATGAACCGCAAGTGATGTTCTTCTTGATGACATCCACACATTTTCAGTCCACCAAGATCCCATTGACAATCGCAGGGGAGGAACCTATACTAGCCATACTAGCCAGCTAGTTCATGGGATATGTCGTCTTACGTAATGGGGGGCGATCTAGACTCGGCCCGATTATGCTCCGCCGGGCCGCGATGAGTCAGCTGGGCCTCCCCAGAATAGAAAGAGTTCTAGATGTCCTCGCCTTCAACCACTTCCGCTTTACCATTTCACCATTTCACCGCTTCACCATTTCGCTATTTCACTACTTCACCACTTCACCACCTTACTGGCATCTCACAGACATCTGCTGCCTTGTATCTGGCCATCCTACCTACTCCATCTGGTGCCTCGCTCTGTTTGAGGCGGAGATTCGCCTAGGATCTCACCCGCCACTGTACCATTGTATTGTCCCATCGTACAGATCGACTGGTCTTGTCCACCTGGGAGGCAATATCTTCATCCAGCCTCCCTGAAACTCCTCTCCTCCAGGCTTCGCCTCTAGTATGTATTATTATTGTTGTAGGCTATAATCGTCGCTTGCCGCTACCCCTCCATTTCCCTTCCTCCAGCCATTTCCTTCGTATCCTAGTTATCCTCCAGCCCTATCCCAATACATTCTGCTAACATCTTAGATAAAAACATTATTCCTACACCAGTGCCTTTACTGAACGAGTTCACTGCCAAACACTCCCGTATCCTCCTTGCTCAGCCGCAAGATAGCTCTATTTCGCATCCCGCTTGTTTTAAAGTGACCTCCAGATGATCAGTTGAGCATTTCCATCCTGGAGATACGTCACCATCGAAACCATTTTCATCTCCCGCTTTTTTTTTTTCCTACGAAACCGTGGATCAACAACTGAGCATCGAAATTCCCACTACAGCGACGCGAGTGGCGCTGACAAGACCCTTTGTGGAGAGTAGTTTCTTGTTCTTCCTTTCCACGCTTTTCCGGCCGCCGTAACCTGTGGCCGATCGCACTCGTTGAATAGAACTTCCTGCCTGTCGTAACCAGAAGTTTGACCTTGAGGATAACCCACAGATACGGCGGCTGGCATACCTCCCTTCTTCCTGGACTTCTACCCACTAATTTCCCCTGTTCTGCCTGTGACACCTAAACGCGCGTTGCCCACGTACGATGGGTCAGCAACAATCGAAACGCAGTGATGGTGCACCTTTATCTGTAGAGAAGCCCGGCGAAAGTCTCCAATCTTACCCTTCTTTCTCTCGAACGGACACTCGCGATTCGGGTCGTTCCATCCGTGGCTCCATCCGCTCCAAAATCCCCGGTGGAAAAAGCGACAAGAACGATAGCCCCCGAGGCTCAATCTCCACCCTATCGCGTGGTGAGAACGGTTCACCGGACAAATCAGATGCAGGCTCCATCAAATCCGCAACAAGTGCAAAGTCCGCTAATTCCCGAGTTAATCGTACCTCCGCAGTCTCCTCTACAATCCCTCCCACGCCCACAACAGCGGATGACCAGCGTTCCTATGTGGATGCTCCAGATCCTCCTCCATCGCCTTCCCAGTCCGCTTCCCTAGGCCACGGCCATAAAAACATCAATGAAGTACGCAGATCTGGCGAGGTTGGCCATGTTTCCGACACTCCCCCTTCCCGTCCAACCCCATCCTCCATTCATGTGAAGCCTGGAGAATCTATTCTCATAAAGAGAGAAGGAGCTATAAATCCTGTTCTGCAAGACGTCGCGGTTACAAGCCAGTCAATCACAAATGGTTCGCCTGGAATGGGAATTGGTGCTCTGAAATCGATTGATGTCGATGACATGATTACTAGGCTTCTTGATGCAGGATATTCAACGAAAGTCACCAAGGCTGTCTGTTTGAAAAATGCTGAAATAATCGCCATTTGCATGGCAGCTCGTGAAGTGCTCCTTAGCCAGCCAGCTTTACTTGAACTTTCGGCGCCTGTGAAGATCGTGGGAGATGTCCATGGTCAATATACCGACTTAATTCGGTTGTTTGAAATGTGTGGCTTTCCCCCAGCCGCTAATTACCTCTTTCTCGGCGACTATGTCGACCGCGGCAAACAGAGTTTGGAGACAATCCTACTCCTGTTGTGTTACAAATTGAAATATCCCGAAAACTTCTTTCTACTCCGGGGAAACCACGAGTGTGCCAATGTGACTCGAGTCTACGGGTTTTACGACGAGTGCAAGCGCAGATGTAATATCAAAATCTGGAAAACGTTCGTCGATACTTTTAACTGCTTGCCAATTGCCTCCATTGTCGCCGGCAAGATCTTTTGCGTTCATGGTGGGCTCTCACCAAGCTTGGCCCATATGGATGACATCCGTGGAATTGCCCGCCCAACAGACGTTCCCGATTATGGATTACTTAACGATCTTCTTTGGAGTGATCCCGCTGATATGGAAAATGATTGGGAACCCAACGAGAGAGGCGTGAGTTATTGCTTCGGGAAGAAAGTCATCATGGACTTCCTACAACGCCATGACTTTGATCTTGTGTGCCGCGCGCATATGGTTGTCGAGGATGGCTATGAGTTCTTCAACGATCGGATCCTAGTAACCGTGTTCTCTGCTCCAAATGTAAAATTTTTAGTCCTATTTTTAGTTTCTATTTATTTCCCTACCACTAGTTGATATCTAACATTTCTTTTGCAGTATTGCGGCGAATTCGATAACTGGGGCGCAATTATGTCGGTTTCTGCTGAATTACTTTGCAGCTTCGAGCTGTTGAAGCCTCTCGATTCGAGCGCCTTGAAGAGCCACATTAAGAAAGGCAGAAACAAGCGGAACAGCATGTTGAATAGTCCTGTAAGCTTTGTTACCACTTCCCCTTTTCATATTCTTCTATGCAGTCCTTACGAGGAAAGCTATCGTATCTACTGATATCAATATATTGGCCATTTATTTTGGATCTAAACTTACTTACACCGATAACTACAGCCTGCGATCGTATCCGCTCAGAGTTACTAAGCCCGAGCAATTCTTGGACATTCCATGATCCTTGCTATATATTGACATCTATACCATCATTTATTTGTGGGTTTATTCTTTTATTACCCCCATCAGCTCATTGTGTCCTTTGGTCTAATGTTCACCTATGTGCGAAAACAAATTCTAACTCCTGTATGCCTATGTATAGAACGAAGACAGAGCCAACCTCAGCCCTTTGTCACCTATGACGTTCCAGTACTTCCGCATGCGGCTCCGCCGCTTTAATCCCGCCCTAACATCGACACCAATGATTCTTACCCCGAAAACTGTTGTCAACCCGTCCACTTCGCTTCCGAAATTCCCGACTCTGGTCGTCCATCCCACTGACATTGACGAGCAGCGTGGAGTCGTGTGTGATTCTGAAGTAAGGCGTGTGACCCCCTTCGACATTTTTCGTGTTGGAGATGGCCAGGAAGATGACTTCTGCCAGGCCGACGGTGACTGTTCGAGCGATAATTACAATGGCAATGACAGTGACGAGATTCAGATATCGGGATCTCACACCAGGTATACCCGAAGCACAGCGGCCGCTGCTAAGCGCCAATGGATACTGAGCGCGGAATCTATTTCTCTTGACGCTTAGTCAGTTGGACAAAAATATATATATATCAATATTTGTATCGTGACTACAACGTTCACACGAACCAGCCAGTTAGCATAGTGGGAGCCGAAGATCATGGTAGGAAGAGTGTCCGGACTCCCCTGCAAATTTTGGTGAGATGTTAAATCGCTGGATGGATATTGCCGGATCTGAGGATGACTTGCACATACATGGTCTCTTGTTTTCGTTTTCTCCATTCCATTATCCTTGCATTATCCTTCGTATTTCTCCTGCCTCAGCTGCTCTTCCTAACCCGTTCAATACGATACGCTATACTATTCCTTATTTTATTGCGATTAATTTGGTTTTGCTAGTTTACTGATTCTACACATTAATTCTGCAACCGCTTTTACCAAAACTCACACTTTCTTCCCACTGACCTGTTTGTTTACGTCAAAAGAAAAAGAAAAAAGGGAAGGAAAGTGTTATTAATGTCTTATCCTACGAAATTATTCCCTTCCTACACCTTGATTTTAGTTGTATTTTTTCTCATCCCATGTCCCTTCTCCATCTATAACAACTATGCATTAATCCGTCACCACTTCTCGAAGACACATGCGCATGAATCCAGGCCTTCAATTTCCCACCAGTTCTGCATACTAGTTATTTCATTTTGTTTTCCTGCTCTATTAAATTATCTGTTCACATTTTTGATTTTTGAATGTCAAACAAAAAAAAGAGAAGAAAAAAAAAAAGGTCCTGTCAGACTGCTCTTGATTTGCTTCCCCCGCATACTGTGACCGCCGTTGCTGTCCGATCAGGATTCGTATTTATATCTATAGACTGTAGTGACCTCACCCACTTTTGTACGACTACGCTAGTTTCAAACAAGCTGTAAATACCCTTTCACACTCTCTTCAAAAACAACACAATGAGCATGCTGTTATGTCGCACTCCTTTCTTCTCTACTCTGTATATGTATTTGCTTTGTTATGCTTTGTTAATTTTGTTTTTGACTTGTCTGGATTAAAAAAATAAACATGTCAATCGTACAGTGGGCGGTGCAGGACATACGCACTACTCTACACATTACATGCAGGCTGCCTATTATGTATTTTGTATAGGATATATATATCTATACACATATACATCTCGAGTGTATATCTGCGGGTGGGTGGGTGATGGTGCTGTTATAAAATAACAACCATAACTAAAAAATTGTGATCTCAGCCTGGCTTAATTTACCCTGAATGGATGATGTGGACGCGCGTGTGTGTTGCAATGTTCAATAACAATAATAGCTAAACTAATGTTAACTGATAATAATAGTAATAATAATAAGTTAATAATAATAATCATAATAATAATAATAATAATAATGCAGAAAACTAGCTAAGAATGAGGGAGTTTCTCTTTTGGTCATTTTTTGTTTGCAGGAACTAAACAAGGAGGAGGTTCGAGAAGCTTAACACAAAGCGATGATGGCGAACGTGGGGAGGGGAGCAAAAGTTGAAAGTGTGACAGTAGCTCATAGCTGAGAAGAGGAGTATGTGAATCAGGAAAGGGAAAAAAAAAAAAAAAAAAAAAAAAAGAGAGAGAGAGAGAGAGAGAGAATGGCCGGGTTGTAGAGATGGAAATTAGAAAATTTGAGACAAGAGTAGGAAGAATATACATAATCGTCATACCCCCCACCCAAACACCCTGGGGAAAGGATTTTGTTATATACTAATAACAGAAGCAGTAGGCATATCAGCATTTCATTTGGCGATAAGAGTAATAGCATGAATGATAGATAGAAGAAACAAAAAGGAGAAAGCTGGGTAACTACGATGGCAAACTGGGGAGAGAGCAAAGGGAAAAAAAGGAGAAAAATGGAGTAGTAAAACTGAAAGATAAAAAGCGTAATGTAGAAGTGGAAATCCGTATAACCAATACTTTGTTGTGTACTGCTGGGAGACCAAAATATGCGTCAGTTTCGAAAAAAGGGGGAAATGAGGAGAATAGACAATAAAGTTTCTGTACAAATAGGTAAGGCCGTAGGGAGCAAAGGGTTACAAAAGTAGTAACTGCTAAAAAGGTGAGAGCAAAAAACAACAAGGCCCGCCCAAATACCAACATCGATGGAAAACCGCAATAATAAAAACAATAATAGAAAAAGAAAACAAATATTCGGAAATAATACTTGTACCAGTCAAGCATTATTACCGAAACAAATCAAAACAAAAATAAATAGCCAACACGTCTGAGGCGTCATTCTCATGTCCCCGCTATCTGTCTTTTGGGGCTTGATTCAATTAAATTTATTTTTCCACACTGGTTGGCGGGGCAGGTGCGCCCTTTGGCGTGTCCTCCCCAGAAATCAACGTTGGCGCAATCCGCCTCTTCTTCGCCGCTGGCACAGCAGCGATTACTTCCCCATCCGCATCCGCTCCATTATCCCCACGCCCGCTGTCCCTGGCCTCGTCCCTCTCAGACTCGCTCACGCCGCATATGTCCCGTTTTCCCAGCACGCTGCCGCTGACGGAGCTCGTAGCGCTGTGGGAGACGCCGGACATGGGGGTTTGTGGTGGAGTGCTTAGCGGGAGGCCGGCTTGTGGGAACGGTGGTGGGGCGGAGTTTGTGGCTGTTACGGATGGAACGGAGCCGAGTGTGGGAGTTGGGTTATTTATGACTGTGCAGTTAGAATTAGAGCCCGGGCCGGAGGCTGAGGTTGAAATTGGAGGAATGCCTGTGGAGACCTGTGTTATGGATGAGGTTGCGGAACCGGTTGGGCTAGTGGGCCGGGCCGGGGTGATGGGGGTTGTGGTTGAAGTTGTTGTGCAAGGGGGTGTAGGGGCTGAGAATGTGGGGTTCAGTTTGGAGAGGGAAGGAGATGTTGCGAAGGTGGGTGTGGGCAGAGGGGTGGTGGTTGTGGAGGAGGTAGTGGAGACATGCTGGACATGCTGGCCCTTCTCGCTTGTGCTGGAGCGGTAGATTTGGCCGAGCTCTCCTGGAGAGAAGGCCAGGGTTGAGCAGAATCCGTCCGATGAGCTCATTATTAATGTAAGGCCGTCATTGGACCTGGTTGTCACAGGTTAGCATTCGATGTTTGCGTGTAGGATTCAAACACAGGGGAGGACTTACCAAGTTAAATCAGTAAATGTCGCGTAGTGTAGATTGCTCACTATGCATATTGGCGTTTGTTGCTGGGTATCATAGACTAGAACCGCATCCTGAGTTGCAACAGCATAAATTATCCGGTACGGCAGCGCAAAGGCTGGGCTAGGCCCTCCTTGTACAGCACCAATTTCTGGTTCAGTGGTCTTGGGAGAAGTGAGAGGACGAGAAAGGTCAGATGTCGAGGTGTTTAAGGGAGGCGGGGGTTCCATAAAGGAGCTCTTTGTTGGGGTAATGGCCGGAATTGCGGAATCAGGGAGTGATGGAAAAGCGTCTTCGCCGGACGATGTGTCGAGCGTAATATGTCGGGTAGGCTTGGTACCCTGGCGTAATGCATAGAAAACAGGAGAGCATTTCACAGCTACCGACGGCTTCTTCTGCCCCGGCAGATGGGCAATTGGAGGCTTATTAAAACCGGCTCGAGTGTAAATATATACGGTATTTATCACTTCTTCACTGGTCTTAGGAGGATCGCCGTGGGGCCCGTGTGAAGTTTTGTATTGTCCGGCCGGTGTGAAAAGCAAGCTCCCGTCTGGCGCAAATGTCAGCCTTCTAAAAAAGGACGTGAATGTTTCATTTGCATAGATGCTGGCATTTTTCACTCCTAGTCCTCCGATAAGACCTGGAGAGGATACCTCCAACGGTTTCACGGCCGGAAGCGGCATGGAAGGTGCTGGAGATGCTGAGCGCCGCATTGATGGGGAGGAGCCAAAGGAAGAACGACGACTATGAGATACTGGCGGGGGGTCCATAGGCAATGCTGTAGTCATTGGCGTTCCAGGGGCTGAAGGGACAGGTGAAGATATTGCTAGAGAATCATTGGTTGAGGATTGAGTTCTAAGACCAAGAACATCGGGGGGAACTGGACTACTTGAGGATATGCGGCGGGCGGGGAGGTCCATTTTGACAAATTTGCCGTGGGATGTGAGCGTGAACTGTCCGTCCTTCGTCTTCAGAGTGTAAATATGCACCGATCGGTCGGAAGATTGAGTTGCGACAAACTCATTGAGAGGGTCCCATGCAACCCCCTGGACGTAGTGTGAATGTTCTGCAATTTGGCGAACCATTTGGCCTACAAATGCCAGTCCAAGGTTAATCATCTTAGTTTCGGTACTTTTTTTTTAAAAAAAAAAAAAGATCAAGGAGTTAGTTAAAACTGCTCCGTACCCGTTTGCGCGTTATATATTCGCGCGATATTATCCATGCTGCCTGTTATGAAGAAGACACCATCTGGAGACCACGCCAGATCGTATATTTCCGCCCCAGAAGATCTGCACATATGTTTCACTCGCCATGTCTCCTTGTCGTCAGATCGGTCTTCACTCAGGCCTCCCCCATGTGGCTGTAGTTCTGAGGGGACCCAGAGCAGCACGTTACCATCGTCCCCAGCGGAGGCTAGCATTTCGCCTATATCGTATATTTTCAATATTAACATAAGATTCCGGGCTGAAGCGGATGGGGCGCCGTGAAAATACCTTTAGGGCTGAATCGGACAACATTTACCGCCTGTGTGTGCTTTATGAGGGTTGAAAGGTATGTAACTCTTCGCTCTTCGCCGCTTGTTTCGATTTTCCATAACTTTACTTTATGTCAGCTTGGGAGGGTGTCCTGAGCGAGGGTGCAGAAGGAGGAGTGTAGATTTTCGTACTCGAACATTGTTGTCACTGGTAGAATTTAGCATTAGCAACAATCTTATTTCATTAAAAAAAAAAAAAAAAAAAAGAGTAATAATATACGTACTTGCCCGCTGTAGCTAGTCGGCCTTTGCCATGAGGATCGAAGTGAGTGGAGTAGATGGGGGCGTTGTCGTCGTGCCAGGAGATAAGGAGAGGAGTAGCCTTCATGATGGACCAGGGGAATTGGGGATAAGCCTTGAAAGCACAAATCGGGAGAGGGGGAATCCCTCAAGTCCTCGAGCAATGCCGGTACTGTCAAAGCTACAGGTTATCTAGGAAGTGGATTTAAGCAGAGACACCTCATGGATGTACGCAGTCAGCAAGCTCTGTGATAAGAGGTCTGGAAGAATTGCGGAGGACAATGAGGTAGATGGCGGCGGAATCAAGGGTCTAGTGGAGAAAGATATGGGATGTGAGTAAGATAGAACACGAATTGGTAGCAGTGTAAGTCGATAATAGATGGTGATTATTGGGGACAGTCGATGCTTCGGTTGATATAAATATCTGGTGGGACGAAGGTTGAGGTGAAGCTGAAGCTGAAGCTGGACGGGGAAGTCAGGTGCCTTCAAAGGGTGGCATCTCAAACAAAACCCGGCCACGGCTTGAAACATATTAAAACAGGTGGACATGCATTTTTTCATTTTATTTCCTTCCACAGTACAAAAGACAAGCAGGAATCTGATACATTAGCTGATATGTAAAACAAGCCATATCGATCAATGGTAACCGTGACAACTCTGCTACGCAATCCGGATTACCCTCCTTCTCCTCCATTTCATTTGATCTTCATCCCATATCCAGATGAGTTACGAGTGACACAGCCGGCCAGTCACTTTCTACAGCTTGAAATGCGCTGTCATCCTGTTCATTACTGTGCATCATCCGAATCATCCATCACCATCAGAATCATCCTCATCGTCATCATAATCATAATCATCGCCATGATACCTCCACTAAAACACATCAAGTATGGCCTGTTAAGGCTTAAAACGATCTTTTGAGTTCGCTCGCGTCACGCTCCTGAATCCATTTACATAGTACGCTCAGAATTCCCATCAATATTCTGTAATAATTTTCCGGCTCCATGGGCCCATTATTCACACTATCTCAGGTATAAAACACAATCCTGCATTAGGCAACTTGAGCAAACCCCGTCCCTAAACTTAATACGCATATGGTTAAGCATCGTCCATGGATCACAAACAACCGCTACCATTGGCTTCTTGACGCCTGGTCGCGTCTCTACACACTTGAGAGCACCCCTAGGTAACTTTAAATCAATACTACAGATCTGTAGAAGGTGACATTTTAACTAACTGGATGCGCCCAGGAATTCGGGACACGTGCATCAAGGGTGACCAACCGTCGGACGCACATTATCAAGCACTGGACATGGTTTGACCAACAGACAACTCGAGTAAATTTGTTGGCAATCTAAAATCAAGAACTAGTCACACAGATGTTATACCACCACGGCGCTGGTGGTGATTGAGCTCTTTTGCCCTAGTGGCCTAATACAGATTAACCATCCCACAGAATTACGGCAGCCCCAACAAGGCATCTGAGAACTTACACTTGCAACAAGCTCATCTCTCACTTCGTGCCTTATCTGTGAATCTCAACTTCACAATCAGATCTATCTTAGCTTTACTCTTGTTACATTCAGAGAGCCCCCCAGCATGTCTCTACCTAGCAAAAAGCAGAAGCTCGACAGACAGAAGCCACGTCCACTACGACCTTACGGATGCAATAGCTCATTTTCCATCATCCATTTCAGCATTACAGATGCTGTTAGCAACAGGCCTCGCGCCTGAAGTGAGTGCATTGCAGCCGTTTCTCGAATCAATCCTACAATCAATCTCTCATACCTCGGTGGAACCAATATACCAATCTTCAAAACTGACATTCAGTCTTGTTATTGATAAGCTCGGCATCGATTTCATCGATGATCATCCTCAATATTAATGGGAGTTGACGGAGGATCAAATGAAATTCAGCACCCAAAAGCCACTCTCTTCGTGGGCGGGTAAGTTGTCCCCTGACTGGTGGGAGACTGAAGTTCAGTATTGACTAAATCCTAGCTCTCGCGATCGATAGGCTCAAGTACTCCCCAAGGTTATCAAAGTTTCGACGTGAACATTCTGCGCGCACTTTGTCTGACATTTTACTCGCAGACCGCTTTGATCAGCTCGATGATACTGAAGCAAATTGCCGACTGTCTGTCGGATATGAAGTTCCCATGACGGCGAATATCAGTGAAGATTGTGGCGGGGGAAAGATTTCCGGCCGAGCCGACTGGTCCCTTGGCTATATGACCGAACTTGATAAGTTGGAGCAGATGCTGGTAGTGATCGAGGCTAAGACTGATGTCTCATCCAACCGGAACATGGCTCAGCTGGTAGCGTATCTCCATGCTATCCAGGAGGCGCGCGTTCAAAGCAAGAAGAACTCTTCTGCTGTTTTTGGTGTTCTTACCGACTCAAAACTCTTCCGATTTGTCGTCTTGCGCGACTGAACCATTGCAATGGACACCTCGCAAGACTGATGTAATTGCATTTTTAGACAATATTCTACTTGATGCCATCAAATCCCCACCGCATACAACTCCTCAAAAGACAGGAAACACTACAATCAACCGTTTCAACCGCCATTTGCAGTTGACGTACAGTATGCCGGCTGTGGAAAGCGATGTTACCACGAATGAAGATGAGGATTATGATGAGGCATTCGATGTTGTCAAGATTGGCGGTGTGTCAGTTCTGAGGCCCCGTGAGCAGTAAGCTTTGTTACTATGGGACTTGTTCAGTGGTATGTTGGGAAACAGGTTTTTTGCGAGCAGCAGATAATCAGCATTGAATGGTCAATGTCAAGAAAGAGCTGTATTATCCTTCTGGGCCCAGCATCTATGCGGTAATTTTTTTTATTACTCTTTGTGTCGCGTCTAAAGTGGATTGCTTCCCCAAAAAGAACAGTTGACATCGACATATCATTTCTTCCTACATCACAACTTCAACATGAGCAATTGTCCTCATATTTCAAGTCTATATCTCACAAGTTATCTTAATCATGTAAGTATCTTTGGTTCTCATGTCTTCTGCATCGGTTCTGAAGCTTACCCATACTTAGCACACTCCCAACCGCCCGCTACAGTCGCCGTCGGAGAAAGCTCCCTCTCAAGGAATGTGTCTTGACCCTGCATCTCTGTTGACTGTGAATGTCACCTGCAACGCCTTTCCAAAGCGTAGCATGACCCCTCCACCGAAACTTTCACCGGTGGTGTATGGGCAGAAGCTAGAAAGGTTGAGCCTGCCCTAGATGTCTCTAATACTACTCGACCCATCCTTTAGGGCCGCCGTCTCCACAAGTAAGGTAATCCGAGGCTTCGTGAAAGCGTGGGACAAAATGTAGGATGAGTGGGTTTAGCCCTGGAGCAGCACATCGCTATGGTACGCGTGCATGGTTGTTTACAGATGGTATGATGTGCAACTCTTTGCTTCCTTAGGGGACTAAAGGTGGCATTTGGCGCTTTTTTATTTGTCTGTAATACTTCTATTCTGGAACTCTGACATCGATGTTCTGGAGCCTTCTACACTATTATATCATCAATGCTACAACTCTCAGGTGGATTTTCATGCAGTATTTTTACTGTATTGTAAAAAGACTCACTACCCTCTGTACAGTTTAACCATCACCGGAGTCAGCCCGCGTGGAACTGGTCTCCGCATTTGTCAGAACAAATAGCCCCTATATCTTTCAACTTTCAATGCTCTTAGCGGAATCAATCCGAGGTCACAAGCCTTGTAGGACTAGTCGTAAAATAAAGAATCCATGATTGGCTGAGTGGGCGTTGGGGCATTACTCCGTATAGATATATACATTACGCAGACACATCAATTCTATTTTCCAGCGCGCATCACGAAAGAAACTTGCCAATCGTCTCACCAAACCACCCACTTAGCTTCTCCCGTCGCTTGTCGCGAGCTTGATGCTCAGCTTGTAACATCGGGCCGACTTCCTCAAAATATATGCTCTGTTGCGCTCGCTTTTGATGAAAAACTTGCAATTCTAACTCCCGTTCATGCGGCGTCATGTCCTTGAGCGGCTTTTTGAATTTCACGCCCGCAGGGACGTTTTCACCCCCAGGAATTTCGAGGTCTGGGCTTGCAGATTGAGGATTTACTGTTGCCGTGGTGGTTGCGGTGGTTGGAAGGGAAGGTGAAGGTGCAGAGGGAGTTGGCAAATTTTGTTTGAAAAGAGCTTGTGGAGGTGGGGGTTCGTGGCCTGCGGCTTTGGCTTCCTCTACTCGCTGCTCGTAGTCTAGCATTTGGTGATATAACTTATCTGCATGCATCTGGATTCGTTCTTCTTTATCCGGATCGAATTCGAAAGACGAAGCATATCCCAGGGCTTGGAGGAATTTCTGGTAGAACCAGACCAAACTATTAGCATCCCTCTTAACCAGGGAAAATACCACTGAAAATAAATAAAAATCTAAGCAAAACAGGGAACAGAAAACATACAGTTTGCATTGTATAACATCTTGAGAATTTTGCGTTTTTCGTGCTGCACATCGTTGCTCGTTCCTTCACCGTTCCAGACTTGAAGCATAACGACAAGTCCAGCTGTTCCTCTGCGCAATTCTCTAGCGCCGCCTTGTTCAAAACATCCTTTCGCTTTTTGAATTGTTCAATCACCTTTTCTCCTGGTGACATGGGAGTCTCCGCTTGCGCAACGGGCCGATAGTCCTTCCAAAGGTGTGCATACCGGCCATCAGGAAAGAGAGAGGGGACCGAAGGTTTGTCGGCAGGGATGGATTCGTCGGCAGATGTCGATTGGGATGAGGATTGTTTGGTTTGTGGTTGTGCTGATGGAGATGGAGAGGGTGAATGATGCTGGACTGTTGTAGGGTCATATCTTACGGGCGTTTCTTGCTGTAGAAAGTCTTTTAGCGATGGGTCAAGCTGCTTGGTGGGATCGCTCCCGTCCGAGGTACCCCAAAACCAGCCCATTACCAATATATATGTTCGGGTTTGGTATATATCTTCCTCAATTAGGGTACGCCGCTAGAAAAACAGAGATAATTACCATAGAGAGATCATCTGTTGTCTCCTGGTTTCCTCTTTCCGGCGCGCAAATCGGCTTCTATTTACATGAAAATACATGAAGCCAAACCCTTTTTGGCCAGGGTAACTAACTACGGCTGCCCTATCATGTGCCCCCCAGGATCTCCGGGGCTTATACTCCGTATATTTACAGCGTAGTAGACATCGCTTGCCATACATCAACAGAAAGTGCGGAGGAATCTCCCTCTGTTCATAGACGCCATTCCTCCAAGCATGCTCGATCAACAAACTGTCCCTAGCTCTAGCAGTACAATTTGAGTTAGATACCGCAGCGTTCGATGTATGTCTCTGGTCAGATGTCAAAGGCAGCCTACGAGTCCGTGAAACGGTGCGGTCTATTCACGGTCACTGCTCGTCTGTCTGGAGGGCACCATTTAGCGTAGACGGGGGCTGAAGGCATAGGACCGGTTTTTTTTTTCCTTTTCAACTCCATCCGACACAAAAGAAAGAAAATGGCAAAAGAATCTTCATGTCTGAGTTGTTTGTTGTTTGTTAGTTAGAAAACTTCATGGCAATGAGAAAAATGCACATCTTCAGCATTCTGCTTCAAATATGAAAATCCAAACATTGTCTTTGTTAGGTTACTGGGGCAAAAGAGCTCGATCAACCCCTGATAGTAGAATAGAGGGCCCGTACCCTGGAACCCCAACAATCGTCTATTCTTGTATCTTACTCTCTTGAAAAGTTGACTGGCATTGAAAAAACAGGCACGGAAATTCCAACTGCACTATCTCACGGCTTATATTCAAAGATGACTGCAAGCTCAAAAATAGTCATCTTCCTCAAAACGGTGGTTTAAAACATGCACTGTATCTACTATCCCTTGAGCCTCTTCAGTCATCTATCATCAGATAACTATTTTCTTCCCATGTCATTCCATTTTGCATGGTATGCGTGGATAACGCAGCCCTGCGCAATTTCTTCACATTCATCAAAGGAAAGCTTTCAGAAAATACTTAGCAACCCAACAACAGCACCCGCCATCGCCATCATAGTTTTGGCATCGACAATAAGGCCATATATCGAATTTGAACTGCTAGATTGGCAGTTTATCGCCGCCTCATTGATATTGGTCTCCTCTGATATTGTGGCTTTAATGGAGCTGCAGTCAATTCTGAGATCAGAGGAAATTGACAAGTGATTCAAAAAACTTCAGGTTGGGAAATTAAACACTATACACCAAGAGTCAGACTTTAGAGAAGGAAAAGCTAAATGACTAGGGAATTTTGCAGCGGCATATTGAATACCTTGATATATTGCCGATTAGCGATATCGCGTCGGCCCTCTCGAAGGGGAGGTTTACATCCAGGGGAACGTGTGAGTGCAGAGTGAGTTGTCCGTTGATTGTTTTCATCTTGGGCATTGAAAGGCTGACACAAACGTAGAGGTAAACCATAATTCCTTAAACTGCTCAAGGTAACAGGAAGTACCTTGTAACATCACCGTTCAACACCATACTATCGTTGCCCACGAAGATCAGCTCTGGAAGGGAAACGTTAATTGTTTCTCCGGATGTGATAAGTTCGAATGCTCGAGAGGTTCATTCAATTCCAGTGATATTGGACAAGTTGGGGACGCTCAAGCTTTAGATCCCCGTTAGCGTATGATATTTCCACAATTGTTGAGGGCTTACTTTGATAACCTCCCGTGGATACTGATGCGACCTGCAGTATGTAGTGAAGGAAGTGAGAGATTCAATGAGGTGATTGGAATCTTCATGTCATCGCAATTATCGCTGTTACAGATAACGAATCTTTCAGAGATGCTCTTAAGGGAGTCGAGCTGTAGCCTTTGTTGCAACGGATATTAGAAGGTCGCTGTTGCATCCTGAAATAACGGAGTATGTACACACCTGCCAATATTCCCCTCGATTTGAAGGGACTCCGCTTCCTCCAGGGATGTTAAATTCACTGATTGAACAGAACTCAACCTTACCTCATGACCCACTCGCTTCAAATTTGGAGCGGAGAAGTTCGTCAAAGTTGAAAGGCCACCGAACCACGGGCCATCACCCAGGAACTCAAGGTCTGGAAGATCCACAGATATTGGGGCCGGGTGATAGGGGGGTTTCAGTAAGCGCCTCGTATCTAAATAGGGAGGTAATGTTCACGTTGAGCAGACTGAATGGGCCAGTGTAGTTGACTCCCATAATAAGGCTCCCATTTATAGTGGTGCACGACGCTGCGATCACGTCTAAGTCAGACTGATTGCGCACCATATAGGCATAGCCCCAAGATCCATCGTCCGGGGTACATATCTGGGCCATAGCTATTAATAAGGTGAATTAGTTGTGTCGTTCGCAAGATTTCTACTAAGAGAGTAGGTAATACCTGCTTGAACTACCCCCGCGGCCAGGGCCAGTAGCCATCTCCATGTGGTAGGGGAAGTCATAACGACTTATAGGGCGGTATCGTGTTGGGTTATCAGAGAGTTAGTTCTGAAGTCAAGAAGGTTCGGCCCATTCATTCTTTTGAACAAGATATGGAGACCTTAAGTTGAGGTTCATGATTCAGAAACGGCCTCTATGGCGTATTAGTGCTGACCTCCAGGAATTTCTGCTATATCATTGATACCTGGTCAACAAGGGTTTGCTTGATTTGGTTCACGTATCTGCCGACTCAGTACAATCGTGTGCGAGAGTCCCTCATCAGTACCTAATTCCCAGGTGAACTGGGAAGAGATCTGGGTCATCATGGGCATCGCCCGTCAAATTGAGAGCACTGAAAACATGGCTTCAAAAGTGCGCAGCTTGTTTTGAGGGTCCTCTTCTCGAGTCGATTTCCCTGAGCAGTACAGAATAATCCCCTAGAACTTACTTCTGATGGAGGGCCGTGGCACGGATAGTTACAGCTATATGATTGGTGCGAAGTTGAGTGCCACCTAACATATTGTGTTGCTCACGGTTAGATAGTTAACAATCACACAACCAACATTATCCTCTTACAAAAAGCGCAATCCTGTGACATGTGCGGTTTTGTGTGCGGTTCTGAGGCTCTGCTTTAAGCTTCTTCCTGCAACACCCCTGAACATGAAGACTTGTGTTCATTAAGATATATTATAGATATACTATATAAAAATCATGTTCTATAAAGTCTGATTGATTAAACAGCAGCTGATAATAGGTCAAATCTACTTAAATAATGCTGATTTTTTACTAATTCATACTGCTCTATCTCAGGCCCCGGTGGTGGAGCGGTTAATTACTCACTCGGGGTCCCAGAAGGGTGCAGGTTTGAATCTTGCAGGGGCTCATTTAACCAGTTTCCACAGTTGAATCACCGAACAGTGCTGGGTGTAACCAGTCCCTTAGGACGCCGGCTATAACCGGGCACTAAATTTTTACCGATCTTATGGGGCTAGAACCCCCTGAGTGCTTCAAGTTGGATCGATTAGTACTGGATAGGTAAGATGTGGTGGGGGATGGAGAAACCTGCAGATTCACCGTCACACCTACCTACTATCTGGGTACCTGTAACCTTGAAATTCCAATAAATCGCCTGATTAGGGCACCCCGGGCCTACCTAGTGAGCACCTAGGTGAGATGAGGCCTAGCAACCTAGGTAACTATGTACCTCCAAGGGTAATCACGTGTGGTGGAGTGGCCAGGAATGAGCTTAAAACAGCGACGAAAATGGGATGCTCTGAGTGGCCACACCCCTAGAGGCACTTACAGTACATATCAAATCGCGTCAGATGAGTCGCGCTCGTCAATTGAGCATGAATGCTCCACACCAGCGATGAATCCAAGTATGATTGTGTTCTGCTCTTTATAGACATGGTTAATGCCAATTTCTAACTTGTGGATTGTGAACAGATCGAGAGGAGCGGCGGTTGATGCGCCAGCGTGGGGCAGGGTATGTCATCCATATCATCCATATCATCCTGCACCAATGCCCATAAACACGAAAATAAATGAAACAAAACACTAGAAACTGATCTACCATTTGGTGTCAAGCAATCGCGCAGCAAAAGATATCGACTTTGGTTTTGGCACCGTCTTCGGTACTCCAAAAATACTTTCTCCGGGTGCGCCAGCACATGCATCTCAGCCGGAATCCACGATCCCGCGTACACGACGATCCTCCTCCCGCAGGACGCCGACTCCAGATCGAAGGCCAATAACTTCCTCGCCATTGCCCCGACAAACTCCTATCGGGACTCAAAATAAATCTTCCAGCAGAAGTACCCCTGAGAGCGGGAGAAACACCCGTCCACAGAGGACATCGATATTCGATATCCCACCGGATGATGGCGCAGATCAAGGACGAGAGCACAAAAGGAGAAGAATCGGTAAGCTCTTTGTAGGGTTAAAAGGATATTTTGTTACATTCGACGTATTACTTATTATTCAATCAAATACACAGTGCCGTTTGAGCCGATTCCAGAAGATACTATAGTAAACAGCGAAAGCGAACATGTACGCGAACCCGATACAAGAACGGCAGCAAGCGGCGCGAAACCTTTCCCCGATGAGCCGTCCAATTTGGGTGAAGTTGGGCATGAATATCGCGCCTCCTTAACTGGACGGCATACGGAAGAAAATGGTGCTCAACTGCCGGAGGGTCAGCCGGAACGACAAAATGAAGAGCCTGTGGACATAGCAGTCGACAGAATACAGGAGAAGGGCGAGTCGAGGCCTCACAAAAAGAGTGTGCATCGGAGAAAGAGGAAATCAGTTGTTCAGGGACCTAAGCGGCGGAAAAGAGCTTCTCTTGCTGGCCAGCTGAGGACGGAGCCCAACCAGGAGGCCGAACCTGAACCTGGGCCATCGCCAGCGCCAGTCTCAGGACCCGAACTTGAAACCGAGCAAGAATTCGGACCCGGACCGGGACCAGAGCCTGAACTACATAGTGTAGAAGCCGAGGAAACATATGGTAGAAGTCACACTGTCGAACCTGTCGGACTCCCGAGACGGGATCCTAAGAAGAGGAAATCTGTTCGGCAATTACTCACTAGACACAAACGACGTGGGACACTTGTTCACGCTCAAACCCAAGAGCATCAAAATGAGGAACAGATTACAAGGTCAGAGGAGCCGGACGAAAACTCTGTAGGTGATGACAATGAAGTAAATGCCAGCCACGAGGAGGACGGTCAAAAGAGGAGCACTTCGCCTAAGCAAATGACAAGGCCAAGACGAAAATCAAGGCGGACAGTCAAAGGACGAGGCCGTCAGAGACAACAGCCACAGCCAGAGCAAATAGAAGAAAACGTACAGGAACCCAGCCAGTCGAGACCACCACAAAGAAAGCGACGCAGTCGAAAGTCATCTGAAGAACCAAATGCTGAGGGCGAGCCAGAATCTCGCGGAGGCACCGTCCCTGTTGTCGTACACCGTTTTGCCAACCTTTCAGCCCTCCGTAATGTTACTGGCGATGACGAAGGTACCCCCAGTGAGACAGCTCAGCCGGATGACCCATTTGGCCATCACAAATACCCCAGTCGTAGCGGGGTAAATCCGGCCGACGTCCTGGGTCAGATCTGCCGCGAGACGCTTGAGAAAACAATTTCCAAGCTCGCAGAGGGTATCGAACAGGAATCAAATTCGGCGCGACGAGTGGAGTGGACGCGGAAGCGCAAAACGGTAGAATTGTTTGGCGTAGAACTTGAACAGCGGCTCTTCGATATGAGCGAGCTTCTGGATAGCAACTTCGTCTTGTCCGCGCGTCTGAAGAGAGAGAAACGGGATATAGCTTTTCTACGGAATCGGTTGGTTGAATTGCGGAAAGAGCGGGAGGACGTTGCTCTGCGGATAGACGAAGTACGGAGGAAGTATACTGAGGATGAACATGTAAAAACGGTATGTCCTCAATTTCGATTTCCCCCCTATACAGCACATTTTTTGGCTAATCATCAATTAATAAGGAACATGATAATCTCAATAATTCCCTCCACAATCTTCAGCTTGCGATTGACCGTGGCCGCAAAGTCGACGATGAGCCAGTCGCGCACCCTGTGATCGGCCTTGAGTTTCTCCTCCGCACAGTCGCTCACGATGTCAGCTCCACCGCCCCTGGGTCGCATGGAGGTATCTTGCATCATGTCAAAAGCTTCAATAATGAGCTTGAGCGCACGGCAACTTTGCTGGAGCAATTATAAATGGGCACCCTCGCATGCGCAGTACCAGGGACTGTTGCTCAATCTATGGTTCTATGCTACCCGTGATTTATTTATTCGATTTTGTTTGATTTTAGTTTACTTTGCCTTCTTCTTTATTTTTTATTTCTAGGAGCAAGATATACCCTGAGACAGTTCACGGTCGGTTCATGACACAATGGAGATGTCTTGCCAAGATCTTCTCTTACTTTCCTTGTCATTTCTCGCTTAAGTAGGCGGCTTCTTCATCCTTCAGTTCTGCTTCCGCGGTTAACAGGTTGAGAACCTTGTCTAGGGGTATTTGCGGAGTAGCTTACTGGCAGTATTGGACGAGTTCGGCGTTTGCACGTTTGAGGAGTTAGTTAATGCACATACATACCTTCATTGGTGAACCCTGGCAACCTGGAAGCCTAGGTGAAACATCTTTGAATCCAGGCATTACAGTTGAATGTAGCCGTAATAAGAAATTGGACGTCGTGATACATCACGGCGAGCAGAACTCTCAAAGCACTTAACCATGAAATTAGAGAAACACAATAAAAATACAAACAACGCATATATTACTATTAATACCTCTCTAGATGCTCTTGATGTGATTGTATTGGAATCAAGTGTGGAGAATGGGGTTGAGAAGGGGATCTTGTACCGCAGTCAAACGTCGTTAGAACCGTAGACAAAAACCCTTGTAACCTGAAAAAGAATGCGCAGCTACGGGGCTATGAACACCGGGTTGAGATGGTGTCTACAACCATCTTCTCAGGTTGTTCTCCGAGGTTCAGAGAAAGTACTTGAGTTGTCATGGAATATTGGACAAACATTTTATTATATATTAGTTGAACCGGAGGTTAGAGAGCTGTTTTGTGAAGTAAAATAACAGACATCAGAAAAGAGGGATAGAAATAAGCTAATCGACGTGATTGTTGTGGTGTAGAAATACGAATGGGATTTGGGAACTTTCGTAGAGAAAAAGGTTGCCAGCTTCAATCTTTTTGCAGGAGACTTGAAGGAACTGACAGTGTAGTTCATCACATGATTGATGCTCCATGTAACTACTCATATGTATCATACCTCAGGTCATCGTGCTAGTTTTGTTGAAGTTAGGTGCAAGACTCCAAGTTTGAGCAGCCGCCTGTTGCCTCCAACCGACGACATTCGATCTGGGGCCACTTTGTGCCGGCATTGAGGGGCGAAATCACGCTGCCTTAACAACGCAGCAGGGCTCCCCGCTGGTGGTGCGATCATTCCCAGCGGCAAACGCACAAACGTTGTCTCCGGGACCATCAATCCAGATGCACCCAGATAGAAAGCGCCCAGGCCACACAGGAATGTGCATGCGCCTCCGACCTTATTCAACCGCACAGCATTGACCATACTGCTAGTCTCGATGAACCTGGAAAGCGAGAGGAAGAAGAAACCGAGCGCAAGGAAGACAAAGACGCCGATGGTCACGTAGTTGGTCCTCAGCGAAGCGACAAGGAACATTATGCTCAGGACACACCAGAAGAGTAGATAAATCCCCATCGCAAAGGAATAAGCCCGCTGATTGCCTACATAAGCATTCTTGATACCCAGGGAAGGGACCATGAACATCGCAAAACTAAGCCAAAAACAACCGTACGAGATGTGGGACGTAGTGCCAAAAGTATTGCCGGTAGTGAATGCCATAATACCGGCAATGACCTGTGCCATTCAACCAAAAAAGACTGCTAACCCAAAGGCAGCTTCAGAGCCCCCAACGTCTCCTAATGGGTTGAAGTCTGGGAGGCTGGACAGGGAATCAGCAAGTTACAGAAGCAATAGTATAATATATTGATATCAAGAGTACGTACCCAACCCCGCACTGATATAATGCCGTAACCAATGCTGTTGTCGCAAAGCCGTGAAAACTGCGCTTCCTGTCGAGTGTTCCTTGAAGGGGATCCCTTCTGCGGAACTGCGGCGTTGTTTGTCCGACATCTTGACGAATTTTTGGATTGTAAATGAAGACGAGAGTCCCGGAGTGATTCCAAGATATACCAACTAGAGCATCTAATCCCTCTTCATCTCTCTCTACCTGATGCGTCAATCTGTGGGGTCAGCAATAGCAGGAGATTTGTCCGTCTATCTGCCACATTTCTTGACAAGAGCACAAGTATAATTAGTTTATATCAAGTTAATTGTCGACTTGTCATCTCGCGGCTTTGGCACTTGTCAGCAAATCAGGTTCAAATTCAAGTTCTTTATTATCAGCAGACAGTAAAAAGAAGGCAAAGTTAACACCAAATATTGTTTTAGTTCCATAATTGGAATACTGATAGTTGACGTAGTCTATAAGCGAATCGGCTTAAACAAACATAACAAACATATAGAGGTATCTCTACATACAAATTTGATGGGACAAGTACAAGGTGGCGGATTCGTTTATGTGGCTATAGATTTGGAATCCCAGCATGGCGCTGGTAGTTACTCCGTAGTAATCAAGCTCTTTTGCCCCAGTGGCCAAACATATTAATACAAGATTATCAGCCCATATGGACATCAATATTTAGCGAATACTACCATGTTAAAAAGTCTCATCTGTAGTTAGTTAACTGTGACACTTCAACCTTGGATAATGAAAGCATAGAGCCAACCTATCACTAATTTAGTTCGGCTCGACTCTCTATTACAATATAGATCTGCCCTCCCAGATCTATGTGATTAATATGCTATGTGATTATAGTGATAATTCATAGCCACAAGATGATTGTAGTTCAAGTATATAGTTGCCCAAAGTCATGTTTTTCAGCACAGTTATGATACAAGTTAAAAAACAAACTATTTTGTATATAACTAAGGAACAAATCATACCAATCCAGCTTTCAGTTTTGGTTCTTTCGACGGACCATTCGGCCAGTCAATACAGGAGATACGAAATCTCATCGAAAATTCGAACCCATTGCCACTCCAATATCTGCTCTTTAGCCGCCATTTCCCAAGGGCAATCCTGCAGGGTAAACAGTCCTAGCCGCGTAGGGGTCAAGAACAGTGTATTCGTCAAGAAAAGCACTGAAACAGAAACTCTTCCATCACATTTCCCTTCTATCAACGAATCAGGCCACGTTTGGCAGATGGAAGAACGTTTTGTTCATGCATTCCCGGGGGGGACCTGGTGTGGAGAGGAATACCAAAACCATGCACCCAACATAAATACGATACGAATCCCGCCGTCCCCCAATACATGGGAAGAATTCATCTACCCAAAAATAGTAGAAATAGTATGATATGGCAATATATGCGTGCTCCGTAATAACGTACGACGAACTCATTGAAAAATAAAAAAAAAATAAAAATAAAGCGGTGAATGGCCGAAACGACAAACGAGCCTTTCTTTAGTGCAAGCGCTGGCCCCAATCCTGTCATGGATATCATACATGGACGTCGAGCACATGACGAACAATAACTGGCTCGACTTACAATAGTTCGAAGAACGTATGTTTAACGGCTTACTTTTTGTGCCGTTTACCTTATCCTCAAGGGACCCCGCTAACCTTCAAGCTGAGAGCTAAAAGCCTTTAACGACATTTAGGTCAAATGGGTCTTTTCGTGTATTTTTTATATCATCAACGACGGAGGATCTCAAAAGTTTTGATCAAGTACTAAGGATTTGAGTTGTAATGTTGTAACCGGCATTAAGTATTTCCTTTCCCATGTCTTAAACCACTACTCCGTAGTTACAGCTGGATTCTAGGGGGTTAATGCCTGTGGCGCCCGAACAAACCACTACAACTGAACTAAAGATAGCCTAAGGCTCGGGAATGAAGATCCTTGAGAATGGTAACAATATTACAACTTAAATTCTTAGTGCTTCATCAAAACTTCTGAGAGGATTCTCCATAGAACCTCTCAGATGTTTCAAGTTCAAATCAGTATTGAATCGATAGGTAAGATAGAGTGACATTTTCAAAATACAAGAGGCGATATGAAATCTCCGAAATACGAGATATTACAAGATATTATCGCCCACACTACCCGCTTGTGTAAAGGATATGACCAACACACCCAGATTTTTTCCCTACCTTGAATCCATATATAGAATGGTTGATCGCAATCTTGACTTCAATGCAACATATCCCCACATGCACCGGATGTGGTCATGTAGAGGGTATACGGGGAAAGACAAACTGTATTGCGTCGTATCATATCATAGTCGAAAGGGAGGAGAAAGGTCAAGAAAATATGACGATTCGGTGTGCTGACAGTCAAATTGAATTCCTGTGCCAGTCCGTATCAAAGAGCTGACCTCATTTGTAACCCTCAGTGCCTGGCTCCCGTTGAGAAGCAAATGCACATGGAACGACCAAGGTCACAAAACAAATGAACTCGTTGCCATACAGGAGCATTCCCGGCATTATAAAAGGCATACAAAAGCAAGTTTTGAAAGGGGCGTCATATACACAAGTCTATCGTCTGTGGGAAGTTGTTGAATGCTCTAGGGCGAGGGTCCTCTAAACTATAACCTCTTTGATCTCGTCGTTCTGAACCCATTTGGCTGGTCCGCTGCGACAATCCGCATCCCATTAGTATGGTCACTACATTCAGAAAGGCAGATGTGAAAATTACCCTTACTTGCCTTACCAGTCAATGCTTTTCACATGAAATAGAAAGTGCTCTGAAGATACTGTGATGTCACTTCCAGAGGCGCGTTGGAACTTCGGCAGCACCCTGCTTCAACCAAGGTCAGTGCAAACCCAGGTGAAAACCAGTTGAAGCAGATGAACCGTAGATTTGGTTCTATTCTCCACTCGGTGATAATATCACCAGCAGAACTCACTTTCGCAATGGAGGGAAGCAAACTCTCCTGAGGTTGTAAAGAGAATACCACATCCCCCCATCCAATCTCAAAATGTCCTCAATAGGAACAATGCCCCTCTTACGCTCACTACGCTGCAGATCAACTTAAGCAGGCAAGCTACCAGACTTGGACCAGACTTGCCAAAATTGCGCTTCAGCTCCATGCAATGAGCCATCAAACCATAGCTTTCTGAGGATTCGGAAATCCCGATTATAGTCTCCGTTCGCACAAAAATTGGAAAACCAAATACTAGTCAAAAATGTGAAAGAGAAAAAATATATCCAAGGAATGAGGATGTATTTGTGTGTGTGTGTGTTTGAAAAGGTTAATTGATAACCAAAAACGGACCAGGCTCCTCAGGATTCCAAGAAAAAGGATCAGGATACAGTGGATCATCATACTGATAAAGAAACTTCTTCTTCTCTGTTCGCCAATTCTATCTCTGAAAACGCCAGAATCCAATCCTCTCATTACTCTGCAGGACGGACTCTCAATCTGCCCTTTTTATCTTTCAACTTCCTGGATCTCATCAACCCATCCAACACTAAACCTGCAGTAGCATATGGAAAATTCGCTGAGTCCCGCGTCATGGCAGAAGCATCCCCAAGCGCAATCCGGCATGTGGGCAAAGGAAGCTAACACGGAGGATGTGATAGCTGCAAGGAGCATGGCGGCGCTTGTAACCAGGAGAAACTATCAGCCATGCGGCATTGGTGTTGTAAGATGATGTTCAAGAACGGCAACGGTTCCGATCGTGCTGCCCTTGAACGGATCTCCAGTGGACATCCGTATAGTGTACCCGGGGGGCTTTTTATTTAGGCCGCTGACCATTGCGCTGGGAAGAGGTTGGTCCTGTAATAGGTGCCCAAAACTTGTGTAAGGCATCGTGATATACGGCTTTCTCAGGATGCTATAATTGCATGTCGATTTCTTGTACGGGGAGCAGCGTTTCTGTGTTGTGTCGTTCAAGTATGTCCGAGCGAGGGGGCTTAATTTCTCCAGTACGGCTAGGAAAGTTATAAGCGGGGTATGGTTTGTCGCGGTCCCGCGACGCCGTTTCGGAGCACTACAGCTTATTGCTCGAGGATGAATCGCCGACACAGTACACAGCCGATTGACAAAAACTGCTCTATGTTGCAATAGGCCACTGACTCCGGGTCCTTGATTCTACGAAAGAAAGAAATTTTCATTTTTTTTTTTTTTTTTTTTTTTTTTTTTTTTTGAAAAAAAGAATAAAACCCCGTTTGTTGAAGATTTTTGTTGTCCGTGACATTTGGGATGGGAGATTGTCGAAATGCCATCGTCCCACAGTCTTAATTAAATATTCCAAGTTTCCCAGTCTACCACGCTGTCAACTCCTGAAGGATGATCGCGTATTGACCTGTCCATAGAACATGTGATTCGGCATCTGGAGGCCCCGTGAAATCCCTTGTTCTAGGAATATGAGGAGTGGCACTGAGCATAATGCAATCAATATCAAAATAGTGAGATTCCATGGTGCATGTCATATTGATATTCTGCGGTAAACCCTCTACTTGGATTCCTATCAACGATGCCTATGGGATGTTTTCTCAAACTTGCAACCCCCATTTCATTTGTGTTGTGACTGGAAACCAGATATGAGATGAGTGGCACCTTCGGGTTCCCCCAGGCATCTGCAGGGGCAATGTTTGGCATGAGGGGGGCACATCAGTGCTGTGAGATACAGTTTATTGGTTTGTGGACCAACAAACGAAGGGGTTGCCTCATGGCATTGAAGGATGGTGAAATCTTGACGTTAGATGTAGATATCTATTTCCTTTGGGGAAATGGTGACAAATGGGATTGTCTTGACTTTAATATGCAAGGAAGATCGGCCTCAAAGTGGGAACAACAACGAAAGACAAAGCAACCCGATGGCCAACATGTCAGGAGATTCCACGAGTAATTGTATGACAAAAGAAGGTGCCAAAGACACTTGAACCCTCTAGTAGTTGTTCCAAGTGTCCTAGAGAGAGATAACGCGTTCCGATCTCCACGTCGCAAAATTCCTGGTTAGGCGACCCATCGCGGCGGCGAAATTGATCGGAAGCATCGCTTAGCATAAGAGATTTTTTCCATTAGTGGTATATATGCATACCTGATGCCTCAGGTTGCAGGTTACCATTTTCATGCCCAGCCTGGATATACGGCCATTCCTGTTCATCGGCAGTGATAGGTTCCAACACTAAGAATGGGACAGCAGCTAGTAGAAGAAGAGTACGAGTATCAATCAAAGAACAGACAACAAATCTGCATTACACCGGGTGCCTCTCTTAGTGTCAGATGACCTTTCGGCCATTGTGGGCCTTGTCCGTTCTCATCCCCGATGTCTATATAGACGACCGAGAAGAGGAATCAGATGTGGTTGAGGAGTTTTTCTGACACAGCTGGCTGGTGTCCTGGCACATGATGTCCGGTACTATAGGTGTTCCTCGCGGATGTTCCATTCATGCATAGTTTGAATGAATGTGATTACGAATCGGTGCAGCACGAACAGTCAACAAAAGAATTGAGAAAAGCAAACAAGTAATAAAGTCCCGGCTGACTTGCGAGGATAGGCATCTCGACATCGGTGGAGGTTTATATCTTGAAAACTTCCCGAGCCTGGCGAGCTTTTTAAGTATATTCGAATCCACGTTACGGTTGCTTTTCAGCGTCCAATTACAACCTGCCTGAAGTGACGAAACACCACGCTGCTGGAAGGAGGTATAGAGATGTAGGGGACCCAGTGGACACGCTCTTAAACTGCTCAGGCTACCATCAAGTCCCGGGAGCCCCAGTCCGCCCTCGTACCCCCAAGGATAAGCCATCCACCACGTGGCAGCCATTCGATATAGCCCATAGAGAGTAGCCATGCTCCCGAAATATTGCCCCTTGCGGTCCGGTGCAGCAAAGGAGAGTACCTGGATGAAGGCCCAAGTTCGTAGCAAACGAGAATGGCGCCAAGTCACCCTCCGGACATGCATTTAGGTCATCCCTGTCGACAGATCAGAAATAAAATCCAAATATCTCTAGGCAAAAAGGATCTGCCATTTGAGAGACTCTTCAAATCAATTATTGAAAAGAAGCACAGTGCGGCGTTGCTAGCAGGCCTTAACATGATGGAGATTTCAGGGTATTTTGGAAATAAATTGGTATAGCAACCAGTTATTGGGAACAGAAATGACAGCGCGCTTACAGGTCTTGGGATAGACATCCTGTTGACATCTTTGGAGTGCATAGTAATAACCAAAATCCATTTCTAGATTCCGTTTGTAAAGGTTTTAGCAAAGACAGTGAATCTCATTCGCACAGATCTCGATACGGAATGATGTTGGTCCATGAACTTTAGAGGAGCCAAGTGGAAAGCAACCAAATTTTGTGCTTGCCAAGGTTCCAGGAACCCAAGCCCAGGATGGATCCCTGGGGCTTAACTGTAAATCCGGGGCTTGGGCGCCCATCTTGGCCCAAATGCTTAATGTTATTAGTGGTCCCGCCCACTGGCCTCGGCGCCCATAGCCTTAGCACCAATTTTAACTGTAAGCACATCAAGGAGTAATATACTGTGGATAATAGCCAAATGCACAACGGCACATCATGTAATATAGCACACCTGAGTCTACTATCCTGATAGAGTATGTACAGGTACAGGTACACGCACATGCACCGGACAAAGCCCCCCATCCAGGATGCGGCCAAAGCGTGTGTATCACAACACCCATCAGGATAGCAGAGGGTGCAGTGTTAGTCCCAGAGCGACCTTCCCCAAGTTTCCGTCAGGCTATGCGAGCCGCCGTCTCCATTCAATCATCCTCTTCCATCAGGACAAGCAAATAACCTTGCCGAAGGTGCCGTTTTCGTGCCCACTTCTCCCGTCGCTGGTCCGATCACAACCCATGTATATATCGGTCGTACAGGGGACAGAATATCACCCATACGAATCGGATGTTACTTTATCTTCTCTGTTTTGAAAAGCCTTGAGGCCTGAGCCTGAGCCGCATTCTCAGCACACGGTAATTGATGGCCAGGCCTTTATCAGGTTTCGCTGTCAATATTATCTTCATCAGTACTAGAGAAAAGGGGACTGGAATATGCCGTGAAGGGAATCGTGGAGGTTTTGTTTGGCCTTTGGCCACAAGCATCAAGAAAAGCTTCATTACTTTCCCCAACTCTGCGCAATGAGTTTTCCACGACTGGCAGCTGGTCGACGTTGTGCCAATTGGGCGGATCTATGTCAAGGGGGAATCAAAAAAGAAAAGAAAAGAAAAGAAAAGAAAAGAAAAGAAAGAAAGAAAGAAAGAAAGAAAGAAACAAAGAAAAACGAATGAGATGCATGGAGGTGAGGTATACGATTCTATTACACATTTTTGTGATGCCGTCTGGATGAAAGCTACGACAAATATATTGAGCAGAGGAAAATAAACCAGAGCTGTGGTCGATGATGTCTGGTTATCTGCGTAATCGAGCGGGCCAAACCATGCGACGTCACAATCTCACCCCCCAACGCATTTTGCGCTTAATCCGCGATATAGCAATTTGCATTCTCATGTTGGAAAAAAGTGAGCTCGGCATAATTTGGCCAAGGTCCGTGGCAAACAAACCGGAAGCCGTGGCCGCAATCACATCGTCAGAGGCGTCCAGGACTTTGCCGATTGACCTCGTACTCGGGGCTCCGGAGACTGATGAACGCGAGCCACGGACGAAGTGCATGAGAATTTATCTGAGGGAAGTGTGGAAGAACGCTGTTGATCTCGCGCATTGCAGTTGGTTGGCTGGGGAGAGAAGGATATTCAGAAACTCTGCATACGGGGAAGGGATATACGCAGCAGTAAAATGAGAATTAACTTGCGAAGGCAACTTCGTGAGTAGATCTCACGCATTTTATATCAAGGGAGCTCTGCATTCAGGGATCACCCTGTTATCCAGATTTGCGCAGTAAAATTATAAAATCGGGTTGAATAAGTGAGAAGGATGTGCTTCTCGCCAGAAAACATGATTCAAATCCTGGCCGCTCTCTCGTTGATATCATTTCATCAACCATGTCAGGACAACAAAAACAAAAAAACAGTGTCAGTGGACAGGATACCTTGGGGCTAAAACCCCCAGCGCTTCCAACCTATAAATCAAAATCCCGAGACTCCTCCTGGGTCTGACACTACGAGTGTCAGCCGGCGAAACCGACCAGCCTAGGAACAATTGGAATTTCCCAAAGCGGAGCAAATAACAAATTCAGGACAGCGTGCATCTTATTTCCACACTGCACGGACAGGGTTATGATGCAACACCCGCTCGTCCGCGCCTGAGTCAGCCCATTGTGCCCAGGACCTAAGGAGTGCGGGGGGGGAAGGGGTTAGAAAAGCGTGGAGCAAACAAGCCTTTGAAGCAGCATTGGCAGGGAAGGGTGGATGCCAGCGAATACTGGAATTAAGCAAGAATATGGGTTTCAAGCCACGGCGAGCCAAGGATTCGAAAAGCCCCTTTAGAATGTTGGAAAGGCTTGTTATTTTGTTTTCCTTCTCTTCTCTCCCTGGTGACGTGCAGCTCAGGGTTGGTTTCATCTACGCTCCGTAACCCAGAGCCGAGAGCCAAAAACTCAAAACAAGTGTGATAGCCTTTATTTGTATTTTTAGAGCTGTCAGTAAGATGGCGGCTGACAGAATGGAAGCCGAATCGAAGATTCTATGGTTTTCAGCCAAAAAAGAAAAAGAAAAAGAAAAAGAAAAAGAAAAAGAAAAAAAAAAAAGAGGAAGAAGGCTCCGATATTGGGTTCAGGTTTAGGCAATGTTCCCCCGGCCTGTCGCCTCGAGGATGACCCTGTCCATAATCAGATCTGGCGACAGTTGATTGGCGTCTCAATTAATCAATCCCTCCTAGCGGGGGTGAAGCCATCTCCAACCCCCCAACGACGCAAATCAAGAATGGAGGATGCTGATGGGTGAATCATCCCTTCACCGACCCACCGACTACATGTTCTCGCTCGAACACGGAGACTGGGAAAACCGACGATGAGCCGCAATAGAGCAGGGATGAATGGGCCTGTTCATTTTCAAAATTCCCTAACCAGCTTCGCAAGTTGAACCCCAAAATTTTTAGGCCGTTAGAAGCCTGGCCGAGGCTCCATGCGGGTTGCAAGAGCGAGATCTCTCCAACGCTATCAATGATTGCAGTTGGCTTGTCGTATCTCGGGTCAAGCTTACGGCAGATGGAGAAATTCCGGCTGGCATATCGGCCAGCTCCAGGCTGTCGGATTAGGATACAAGACAGAGAGGAGAGTGTGGGGAAGCTCTCTTGGACCAAGAGTAGCTCGAACGAGCCATGTTAGTTTAGAGCCAAAGAAGCTCCGCGCCCCTTTTACTTTTTTCGTCCTCGTTTAGCTGCTTCTCGCGGGAAAAAAAAAAAAAAAACAAACAAGATGAACAGCTATGGCCATCAGCCCGTCGGTGAGAGATGAATCCTCGAGGAGTGGTAATAATGATGAGCATGCATCAAGCAAGGAGTTTGAAAGAAACAACATTTTGCACATCGATTTCATTCGTCCCCCTTTACAACGCTCTCCCTGCACCACCACGCTGGTCACCATTATGTGTATTATGGTCCACAGATCCCAGCTCCAGTCAGCAGCTGAACGAATGAGCATGAAACGAGTCGATTTGTCCTTCTTGTGCATGCCATGTCAGCTTAGGAGACGTGGGGCCCTTGACAAACCTTATGTGTCCGAACTAGGGTCAAACAACCTTGGTCCTTGGATGAGCGGTGGGCTGAATTGTTCTCCTCCTCATGCTCGACTGGAAATCCCTGATTAATAATTCGTTTTTACGCTGCGTAGCTCATCCCTCATTTAAAACCTAACGTTAGCGCATGGACTCCACGCCCTGAGGCAAAATTTCGGTTTCGACGTTGGGGTCGGGGCATAAAGAACACAAAACGCCCGTGATTGCAGCCGACGCAAGTCCCGGGCCCCCTTGGGCTCTTGGGCTCCCCGGCATAAAAATCAATCATGAACGAGAAATATTTTTTTTTTTTTTTTTGGTGCGCCAGCTGCAAGTAGTTTATGACTCCCCACCAATCCAGAAGGCCACTCGGCAATGGCAGATATGTCCACGCACTGATTCGCCAAGTGCGCTGTCTGTCCCACCTGCATGGATGCATGTGGGGTCAATCATCTCCAGAGCTCAGAGGACACAGCTCTGCATAGGAGGAGCCAGAAAACGAAGGGACAGCCCCATGGTGTGCACTATTTGTGGAGCTCAACTGTTGCCAAGGATTATGCTGTGAGATTGGGAAGCTGGTCCTGGGGGAAAGAAATAGATGTACTGTGCATGATACAGGTTCCCCCCCCAGATTTTTGGGTTTCGTTCAGAGAACGCGAGGCCTAACGTTTGGCTCAAGTTCTATCTTCTGGCAGTATCGAGATTTCCTACCTTTATTCTTCATCTCCTGTAAACGGACAACCCCGATTTTCGATGGGGAACTTGATGTCGCTGACTTTACTTTCCCTTAACCGTGGGAATTGCCGGGCGCCTCTTTGCCCACCTCCGACTTTGTAACGAGTCGGCGACGGTGGATCTCTTATCTCAGTCCTCCACATGTCACAAACAAGTTGCCGTTCTTGTGAAAGGCTTATTCCCCTCCTAACCCGTCCCCATCGCAAGAATGAGGGGGGCGAAGGCTTGTCCTACCTAAAATGAGAACCAGGCACGACGATATCTACGTCTTGGGGTGGAGCATGGCGATTTCAAAGCACAAAACCCTTTTAATTACAGCATAAAATTTGAGGGCGTGATGCCTGATCCGATACAGCAACAGAGGCACCCATGGCAGCAATGGTTCGATGATTGCAAAAGTAAATGAATCAACCAATAAAGTAAAAATGTGG